TATTTAAAATAATTTATTTAATTGTTTTTATATTATGACCATAAAGCTGCTTATTTTCCGGACAACCCAACAATCTACGCATGTCAGTTAGGTAAATTAAGTATTTATTAGCTCGACATTTATTAAGTATAAATCGAAACTTATGAATTGTAAATATATATTTTATGAATATGAAAACCAACCATTTTTCAAAGCGGAGAGGTCGGGAAGGTTTAGTATCAACAACGCCGCAAAAGAAAAGTAATTTTGGAAGACTCTCTAAGCCACTGTCGTTTCAGCCTTTGTGGAAGAAAAATAATTAAAATCATTTATTAATAGTTTTTATTCTATAACCATATACCTGCATTATTTTCAGGACAACTCAACAATCAATGCATTTTAGTAGATAAATAAATTATTTATTAGCTCGACATTTATTAAGTAGAAATCGAAATTTCACGAATGTAAATATCTATCGGAAAACCAACCATTTTTCAATGCACAGAGGTCTTGACGGTTTAGCATCCACAACGCCCTAAAAGGAAAGTAATTACGGAATTTCTTTATAAATCGTGAGATGCGGTCTGGTGTGATCTAGGTTTCAGAAAAACATTTTCTTTATCGTGCCAACGTTTCGATCTTTATTGAGATCATCTTCAGGGCCTGGGATTTACAAACATTGTTTTCATTTAACAAATACATTTAGGATGTGGATAAGTGAATTTATCCAATGCAAAATATATTTTTTATATTCAATCAAAGAATTTCTACTCACTCAAAGTGTTTGTCTTTTGTGTAATTGTGCCATTCTTGCGTGTGGTGTTGAGAGTGCCAGTGAGATTTTGCTGTTTTGTGTTTATATACGTTGGATTTTGAAGGGTGGGGAAGGATGTCGGTATAGAAAACACATTTTTGTATAAGACGTCGGCTTCTTTGAGGTGAAAGGAGCCGACGAAGGGAAAAATGTGTTGGTAATGGTTCGGCCAGATTATCCTTTCAGGATTATATAGAAAGGGATAAATAGGGAAAGGAAAACTGAATTTTTGGGAAGTTAGACCATGTAAAAAATATTTGATGTGTGGAATGTAATGTGATGATATAGGTATGTTATCTGTAATGAATTTGATTAATGATGTTGGCGTAGCTGCGACTGAGTTTACATGTAATTGATGCTGTGTTTATCTCGGTTGATATAAACCATTTCTAAGAAATTACGTTTATGTTTGTTTTGTTCTGTGTGTAATACTTTTGGATTTTTAAAGTCGAAATTGTGTTAGTGATCAAGATGGTGGGTAGCGAGGGGTGTAGGATTTTGCTTGGGTTTTTTGCAATCATAGATATGTTGCTTTACTCTCTTGTCCAGATATTGGGATGTAAGACCGATGTAAGTTACCGGAAAGTTTAAACAGTTGATCTTGTAGATTACGTCAGATTATTTGTTATTGGTGTGGGATCTTTAATTTTGGAAAAAAGTGTTTGAATTGTTTCATAATTTTTGAAAGCTATTTTGAAGTTATCGGACAAGAGAAATGTGTTTAATTTGTGTGATAGACCTTGGATAAATGGTACGGAAATGTATGCTGGTTTGTTTGTATTCGATAGATTTACTGTAGTATTATTAGTAATAGTGGATAGTGTTAGTGCCCGTAATTACGGAAGATACTCTTAGCCACAGTATTTTCAGCCTTTGTGGAGGAATAAATGATTTTAAATCTTTTTTATTAATTAAAATAAGTAATAAGTAAATTAAGTATTTATTAGCTGGACATTTATCGAGCTACTAATTGAAACTTCACAACTGTAAAAATCTATTGGAAAACCAACCATCTTGCAATGCACAGAGGTCTGGAAGGTTTAGCATCAACAACGCCGTAAAAAGAATATAATTTTGTATATACTTTCAGCCACTGTCGTTTCACCCTTTATTAATTAAAAAAAATGTAAACTGATTTATTTAATAGTTTTTGCATTATTTTCCGGACAACCTCATAATCAACGCATTTTACTAGGTAAGTTTTTGTTAGCTCAATAGTGAGTTACAAATCGAAACTTCTCAAGAGTAAATATCTATTAGAAAACCAACCATTTTTCAATGCACAGAGGTTTGGACGTTTTAGCATCCACAACGCCTTAAAAAAAGTAATCAAGGTAGATTTCCTAGCCACTGTCGTGTCAGCCTTTATTAATTAAAAACATATTTAAACTCATTTATTTAATAGTTGTTGCATTATGTTCCTGACAACTCAATAATCAACGCATTTTAGTGGGTAAGTTAAGTACTTAAGAAACTTTTCAAGAGTAAATATTTATTAGAAAACCAACCATTTTTCAATGCACAGGGGTCTGGACGGTTTAACATCCAGAACGCCTTAAAAGGAAGATACTCTTAGCCATTGTATTTTCAGCCTTTGTGGTGGAATAAATTATTTTAAATATTTTTTATTAATTAAAATAAAAAATAATTAAAATAATTTATTAATAGTTTTTATTTTATAACTATAAACCTGCATTATTTTTCGGACAACCCAATAATCAGCGCAGTTTATCAGGTAAGTTTTTATTATCTCAACATTTATTGATTTACAAATCGAAACTTCCCAAGAGTAAATATCTATTAGAAAACCCACCATTTTTCAATGCGTAGAGGTCTGGACGGTTTAGCATACATAACGCCTTAAAAAGAACGTAATTATTGTACAATAGATACTATTTCCCCGAGGAATATCAAGTACTCTGGGGTGAGTGTATGACGTCTGGAGAGTAAAAGTAATTTATTAGCGTGAAAGGAAAGGGTTCCTTATAACCCCGCCCCGAGGAATATCGAGTACTCTGGGGGGAATGAATGCGACCAGACATCTATGTTTGTGGTGATGTATATATATGTATTGTATGTTTTGTTTTCATTCTGTATTTGACAACCTGAGGTACAAACGAGAGACTAGCATTCTAGAATATCAACGTAATATATATCTGAAATCAGAGAGTCAGTAACCAGATCGAGACGCTCAAATGGCTGCAGTTTAAAACAAAATATGCGCGAAAGAAAAGAAAAAGATGGAAAACACCCAGAGGGCCGGCGATGACCTCAGCTGTTTGTCGGCCCATAAATTTATATAGATTATGGCCACTTATATATAGATACTATTAGCCACTGTCTTTTCAGCCTTTATTAATTAAAAAAATATTTAAAATAATTTATTTAATAAGTTTTACATTACTTTCCGGACAACCCAATAATCAACGCATTTTATCAGGTATGTTTTTATTAGCTCAATATTTATTGATTTACAAATCAAAACTTCCCAAGAGTATATATCAATTAGAAAACCAACCATTTTTCGATGCACAGAGGTCTGGACGGTTTAGCATCCACAACGCCTTAAAAGGAAAGTAATTAGTAGGTACTATTAGTCACTGTCGTTTCAGCCTTTATTAATTAAAAAAATATTTAAAGTAATTTATTTAATAGGTTTTGAATTATTTTCCGGACAACTTAATAATCAACGCATTTTACTAGGTATGTTTTTATTAGCTCAACATTTATTGAGTTACGAAGAGAAACTTCCCAAGATTAAATAAATATCTATTGGAAAACCAACCATTTTTCAATGCGTACAGGTCTGGACGGTTTAGCATCCACAACGCCTTTAATATTTTTCCATTACTCTCCTGACAACCAATAATCAACGCATTTTAATAGGTAAGTTTTTATTAGCTTACGCCTTAAAAGGAAAATAATTACGGTAGATTATTTTAGCTACCATTGTTTCAGCTTTTGTGGATGATTTAGAATATTCGTGTCGAGTGGCCAAAGAAGATCCTTCCCCAAGACGGCCCAGATCCTATTTGGATAGCAAGATAAATATAATATTTTTATCTCAGCGTGTATCAATATGAAAGAAAAGAAATGAACATACTCTTGAGATGCTTTAAAATAATGTTTACCAATATTATTCCTTTCTTGTATCAAAAACCTAGAAAAACATAATCTCATAATATCATAGGTGCCAGCGACGGGGCGCCCTGCTAGCCAGCCGAAACTGACCAAGGAACACCCCGCAATGTATCCTATGTCCGAGGTTCCAATACATCCGACATTTATCTTATGGTTGGTGTTCCTCAAGGAAGTATAACGGCACCATTCATCTATACCATCTGCTGACATTTCCCTTCACCGCAATATAAAAAAAATTTTCTATTTACTGATGACCATGTCATAGCCTTCCGCTTTCTATACACCTCCTCCATTTAGGATTGTACGATTAGATGATAAATAACAAACTCGACTAAAACGTTTAGGCTATAAAGAGACCAAACTCTTGTCGACTAACCTGGCCAGACTTTTAGACAAAAATTATATAGCCAAGCACTACAAACTCCAACCGTTAAATCCTTTGTAGGTCCTTTGTATATGAAGGAATTACACCATTCTCATTCCCGTAAACATCCCCTAATGTCCTAGACAAATTGTCACCACAACTTAGTCCTAGATGGTAGTAATACATAATCTATCTCATCACGGCGGTGTTCTCAGGGTTGACTGTCAAGAATACCGACACCGTAATTGACTATGGCACTGGGTACCTATGTTCAGATCTATCAGGCCAAATAACTTCTTGGAGCAGATTTGTTGTTTTATATTTTCTGTATGTATGTTATTGTTATAATAATAATAAATTAATTAATTATTATAATTATATTATAATTATAATTAATTAATTCTTCTTATATTTGGAAAATATAAAATAAAAAGAACAAAATATGCATATTTGTTATTGAGTTGAGTGCTGATCTTATCATCAGATAGACCAGATAATTTTAATTTTAATCGTTTTCCATAGTTTTATGTGCCTTTAAATATTTATTTAATCCCAAAGGAATATGGGAAAGTTAGGAGCTTTTTTATAGCGTAGTTGCTCGACAAGGTTCATGGAAAACGTTCCAAATTTTTTGGCGGAATCCTGTCGACGAGTAGGTATTGTAAATGAGGGGTCGACGATCTGTGTTAAACCACTTTTCCGAAGGGCATCGGAGGATTGGAGGGCGATTGTCCCACTTCCCATTAAATAAAGGGGTCAGTGAAATAGGGCAATTGCGTATCGAGCCGGGACTCGGTGGGATTTCAGAGGCGGGATGTACGGGTTGCCATGGATCCCTGGCTCCCCACCATTTGATGCCATTAGCCATCTCCCGGGGGCAAGGCCCCCCATCACAACCGTTCTCTCTGAGCACAACCTCAGATTGATTCCAGTGGAGTGCAGTCCCAGGAACCCCCCCTCAGGTGAGAATTTATCTTTCTAATAATTTCCACTCCAACCGGATCCATCGTCAAATCGTCAACGAACCAACATCTCGACCCTAATTACCAACATCCTACAATTCCTCGATGTCAAGTGTTCATTCCTTTGTTTTGGTTGAATCTGATTTTTACAAAAACAATTTATCTACCATAAATAAATAGAAATAAAATAATTAATTATAAATAATGACAATTTAGCTAAATTAAAGGATTTTTTCTCTAGTGAAACTATACCGTCTTAACTCATCGTAACAATTAAAAACAAAAACAAATGTGAATCATAAAAATATTAATTTAAATTAAACAAATGTTTCTCAAATAATTACCCGGGGTTAGAATAAAAATTAGGATTAAACATTATATTTTAACATTATAAAATAAAATGTAAAGTATATTGGATAAAAAAGTATATTTCGATATACAGTGGAAACCCATTTATCCGGACCCATTTTTAAAAAAATTTTTTACAAATTATTTCGAGATCGTGAGATGCGGTCTGGTATAGTAGTGTATAGTCTCACCATCTCCAAATCATTAATTAACGGTCAATAAACACCAAAATTTTTTTATAAATTTTTCATAATTGTCATTGTATGTATATTAATTTTTTAAAATTGTAAGTATATTATAAGTATGGGATCTTTAATTCGTCGTCAGAAATTCGTAAAGGCCACCAAATCGCCTATTTACTATCACACAATCGAGGAGGCCAGATAGGCCGAAAAAAATTAAAAATAAAGTAAATAAAAAAGGTGTATACTATTTTAAAAGACTAGAAATTGTGTCGTGTTGTTCGTATGTTGGCTTCCATTGAAAAAGAATTTTTTATTACGTACATTTTTATTAGGTATTTTTTGCATATAAATTTTTCGAGAAACGCGTGTCCGGACTTAAACAAAAATAAAACTATTAAAAACTATCTATTACTTTAAATGTAACTTGATATATGAATAAGTGTTCACTTTTGTATGTGTGGTTTTTCTATTTTTATGACACGATGCTAATAAAATCACAAACTTTCGGATTATCCGGTCAAGTCCCGGTCCGTCCGGATAAACGGATTTCTACTGTATATAAAAAAATCAACTTCATTGTCAAGTGATCTCCCTTTTTTTACTAAAAATGAATGTATGTTGCACGTCATGATCAGTATTTCAATGATTTTTAAAACTTTCAAATCAAAAGAATGGTAAAAATCAAAATGTTTGACAAGTAATTGCATTAGAGGTTTTTCAGTAACACTCTAACTAAAAGGCTTACAAAAAGGAATTTTCCATCTATAAAAAATCGTATATTAATCTGTTACATCTATAAAAAGTATATCAGATCTTTCTTCTTTAAAAACTTCCGTATAAAAAGAATGGTAAAAATCGAATTGGCTGACAAAAAATTGTTTCGGAGAAATTTCCAGTCCCTCTAGAAGTGTAGATTAAACATATTTTATGAAATTGATTAAAGTTTAAATTTTAAGCCATAATCATTGACCTCAAACCTACAAATTTTAAAAAATCCAATACTAGATTTAAAAAAACATTTCTTTAAATAAATGAATAAGAAATAAACTAATTAATTGTAAATGATAACACATCCCTAATTCAGCTAAATTAAAACTTTTTCTCTGTGGAAATTTTTTGTCTTTACTTCAGCATAAGCATTAAAAAAATAAAGAAAGAAAGAAAAACAATAAAAAAACAATGAGTAAATTTCCAAGTTTTTCATTTCAATTAATCAAATAATGGTCAAGTAGCCTTGGGATTTTTTAACCACAATAAAAAATTAGGGCTGAACATTCAATTTTAAAATTAAATATAAAAGTATAAAAAAGTTACTAATTGGGTAAAAACATATATTTCAGTATAAAAAATAAAAAATGAATATATCCTCACTGTTAAATGGTCCATCTGTTTTTATTATTATTGAATGTATTCTTGCTTCACGTACTTCTACAATTTTTTATTAATTTTAATATTAAAATAATGCAAAAAACAGAACGTTTGACAAATAATTACTCTGGCTATTTTTTGGTTTATCAGAAATTATAATTAAAGTTTAAATATAAAATTGAGAAAAGTTTAGAATATGAGCCCTCGATAACAAATTTTCATTTCTTTTGTTTTGACTGAAGTTGATTTGTACACAAATGATTTTAAATAAAATAATTTCGGTTTAGTTCTCTGAACAATATGTTCCGGCTGCACGCCCTCATCTGCAACCCAACGAAAATGTAAATTTTCAAATTGAGTGAAGTTTAGATTATGTGCTTTCAATATAAAATTTTCACTCCTCCTGTTTTGATTGAACACAATAATTTTAAATAAAATTATGAATTAAAAATAAATGGGATAATTAATGGGCTATTTATTTTTCTGACAAGTGTTCCAGCTACATACCACCACGATAAAACGAAAAACGTAAATTTTCAAATTAAAAAATGAAAAGAATGGTATATTAGAGATTTTTCAGTCACACTTCAACTAAAAGTTCTACGAAAAGAAATTTTCCATCTAAAAAAATTAAAGTATATTAGATCTTTCTTCCCTAAGAACTTCAAATCAAAAGAATGGTAAAAATCAAACTGTTTGGCAATTTCAAGGACGTCCAACAAGTATGAAAGAAAAATAAATTAATTGAAAATTATCTTAGAGTTAAAAAAGGTTTTTTGAAGAATCGGTAATTTAGTTGTTTCCGATCGTGTAATCTGCCTATATTTTCTGTCCCGTGCATTGGAAATGTTGCTGCTTCAGTAGTGGGTTCGTTTCTATTTCAAATAAGGGTTTTGAAAAACCTATTTTTAAGATTTGTTTCTTATCTGTTGATCTTCTTTGTTTTTCTCTATCAGACACGTTTCAGATACCCGCCATCTTCAGAAAGTACAGACCCGTCAAAACGATTGAGGACGGCTAAAATGCAAAACCAACTTTGTAATAACGCAATGATACAATTTGAAAAGCGAAACACAGTTTGATGTTGAACACTGAACAGGGTTGGTTCCTCACTGAAGATGGCGTTAAGCCGAATGCGTTTAATTAAAACGTAAACCTTTTACTACCGTCACTGGTAGGAAAAGATCAACTGTTGATCAGTTCAACAAAAATCAAAACACTTGTCAAATGCCTTGGGATTTTTTCAGTACAACTGTAAAAAATTTAATAATTTAAATAATTCACTAGTTTTAGTGGTCCACTTGACCAATTAATATATTTCAATTAATTAAGGTTTTTAGTTGAGATAAGAAAGTTAGTGTCACGAGCAGGATTCGAACCCAAGACCCTCGGCTAAATACGCCGCTGCTCTACCACTTGAGCTATCGTGACTTCGATCCACTCGGACACTAACTTCCACCTCTACCCCACCTTTTGAATTTTCCCTCCTTTTTGCCATTTTTCAAATGTCGTGTAATCTATTTGATTCTCGGCGACAAATAAATTGGCCACGGAGAGCTTTAGTGAAGGTACACTTCATTTTTACTTGCTAAATTCACTAGTTTTAGTGGTTCGCTTGACCAATTAATATATTTCAATTAATTAAGGTTTTTAGTTGAGATATCCGGCATATTTAGCCGAAGGTCGTGGGTTCGAATCCCGCTCGTGACACTGACGTTTTTATCTCAACTAAAAACCTTAATTAATTGAAATTTAAATAATGTGTAGATTGCATAGGTTAACTTAACAGCTGTTGTTTATACAATATAACAGAAATTGTTACATGGTTCGTCTGATGAAGAAATCATACAGATTTGTCAATAATGTTTTTTTTAAATATTTTTAGTGTTTATTCAGGTCTGAGAGTCTTTTTAATAATTATCAATGAAATGTAAATAATTAAAACAAGCCTTGGTATGCAATTGCGATTGGAAACTGGAGGAAAACCTCTCTAGAATATATTTCGCTTGAGGGCGGAGGAAATAAATATATTTTTTCGATCGAATGACGATTAGGGTGGCGAAACGAAACGTCTTTCTTCCTCTAAGGAAGCAATCAAATCGCCTTTTCGGCCGAAAATGATGAAACCCCAAATTGAACGAAATTCACCAAATAATTACACTCCTCGAAGAACATTTTGTGATGATTTTAGTAAAGAAGGCGCACAAAAAATTACACATTTTCTAACGCTTTATGCATGTAAGCAGATAAAGACCCATGAATTATGTTATAATGAATTAGAAAATGTAACAACTCATCATAGTTTTCAATCAATCGAAAGAAATCTAATGTTTTCATGTTGATTGTGTGATTGAAATTATAAGTCTGAATAGATTTGGAAATATCGTTGAAAGAAAGTACGGTAGCTCGTACAATTAGATTAAAAAAAAAAAATAATGGAAACATGAAAAAAAAACGCATAGAATGTGTACCGTACGCATCATAGGTGCGTTATCTGTAATATTAAATTAGCGTATGGTGAAATTTTTAAATTTTAAACGTAAAAAACAATATGAAGAAGGTGGATGCGCGCCCTATATATACACCTATATTTACATGCTCCAAATGACCTCAAAAATAACATATTTCAAGTCATCGGATAGTTGTAACCTAAAGCGTAAAATTGCTGAGGATTGTCTAAGAGATAATTAAAAATATTAAGGGGTTAGTTCGCCAAGTTGTGTATGTGTATGTGTATGAGTGTGTGTATTTATATACAAAAAAATTCATAATTATACAATAAAACTATAAATAACAATTATCGTTAAAATTGAATTAGAAAAGCCGACCAGAATCATCTGTAAATGGTGGGAGGCTGGTGCCGAATGGCTGATGAGGCCCTTAAAAATCGTTGGGCAACCTGTTGAAGGAATTAATAAATTCGACCCCTTGCCAATATAATTGGAGCAATTTCATAATTGATTGTGTAAATTAGTCTAGGGGGAAGGCAAATTGGTCTTTCGGATGGCTTATGAGCCGCGCTTTTTATTCCAGATTAGCCCGATTGAGAATTATTAAAATTTTGAAATTAATTAATTAAGTTTCGACACGTTTTATACG